GCGCTTGCTTTGATCTTCAGCCGCATGGCATACCGTGTGTGCGGGCCTCCGGGCCTGGCAGCAGCTCCACCGCGTCGCCACAGCCATCACAGCCATCACAGCCATCGTCTTGCTGCCACCGTGTGGCGTTCGTCGAGGCTGTGTGTTAAAATTTGTGAAATTATTATCATCGCTGTGACGGGGAATCGGAGCGCCAAGTCTCTTGTTGTTCTCTTTAGTTCCCCTAGCCCCATAGCTGGTACTCTGCAATTTGATTGAGCAATCATCAATTCAGCATGAAGCAACAGATTTTGCGGTGAGTGGAATTGAAGGGTCTTCCGAAAGCGTAATCGATATTTTGACCATGGATTGGGCTATGCAAATGCCAATCAAAGGAATTCCTTCTTTATGGAAGTTGAAGGCTCTGTGATCCATTCTGTGATCCCATTCCATTTGCTACTCCCTCTGCTGTGCCCCATATGGTTTATGTTTACCCACAAGTCTGTCACGGCCAACAGTTCGGAAAATCGTTGACATGCAAATAGGCAACGAGCCGTGTAAACTGAACAGTGGCTCATATATCATCATCCATGGGTGGTGTACTTACTCAATTGTAGGTAGTTTACAAAACGTTTTTCCCTATAAATAGCACGTGTTGCCTGTGTGTGTGTGTGTGTGTGTGTGTGTGTGTGTTTGCATGGTTTCCAAGTGCAATGATTCCCATTTACTGGGAAATGGTAGAGGATCTGGTTTTATGGTCTGAACTAACTGCTTTGACCTTGTTTCTTTGCCCCTAAGTTTATTGGTTTTTCCCTGTTTATGACTTAGTTGTTGACTTAGTTCAACTTTTAGGGGGAGAGAGGCTTAGATCGGCAGAAGAAATGTCCCCAAATGGTCCCCCCCCCCCCCAACTCTAAATCTCGCTCAATCGATATTAATTAGAGTTTGAAATTAGCATCGGAACCAATTGCTCGGATCGAGTTAAGGGAGCGATTAATTATGGCCATTGGGCAGGGACAATATGTGTGTGACAGCCATGAAACACGAGCAAGACCCGTGGAGTGGTAAACACTCAGAGAACAGGCAGCAGCAAGCTAGAACTGGAACTGGAACTGGAACTGGAACTGGACAAGGGATATGGCATCTTGGATATGGGATGGGACCACACGCATCGTGTGTGACGGCGATAAAAATCACAGCATGTTGCAAACAGCCCATTGACGTTACTCTCCTCCTCCTCCTCCTTGCTGTTTGCTGTTGTTGGGCAAATCTTTTGACAGTTGTGTTGAAGCATAAAGATGCCAAAAGGAACAACAGCAACAGCAACAGCAACAGCATAAAGCCGCCAAGTGCGTATCTGAAGCGTCTTGGCACTCGCAGCCAGCCACGAAAAGCGCATCAATCAAAGCGCACCGCCAACGCTGTTGCCCCACGCATACACACACACACACACACAGCTCACACAGCTCTCACACATTCGATCAATCATTTATTATGGCATCGCTGATGGCGGCCCCAACGTTGGTGGCCCCCAACCAAAATACAACAAAAAAACTCATAACACACACAAAAAAAGGAAAGAAAATACTTGGAAAATATAGCTAATTTTCTATGGGCCCCATATACTCGTACATTTTTAGTTTCTATTTTTTTGTGTGTGTTTGTGGGCGGGGTTGGAGGGGCGGACAGCCAATTTTGAGCACGAAAAGCAATTGTATCGTATGGCTGTCAGATCCACTTATAGAGAGGGCCAAATGCCATTAGCCCAGGGTATTATGATGGGGTCTCTACGACCGCACTTTTGTTTGGATTTGCTTATCAAACAGATGCTGGCAGTGGGGCCACGAGCTGTGCTGTTTGGATATCCTAATTAATCTTTAAAACTAAAACTCCAAAAGGAACATTCGCCTGCATAGCATTCGTATGTCCCAATATTCCCCACAGCTAAAATAAAAGCAATCTATTTGATTGACATTTTGTGGCTTGCCGCGAAATAAACATTTCAATTCGAATTAAATTTTGTTGAAATTAATTGCGATACATATTTATGTACATATGTATGTAGTACAATGTACCCGCTGAACAAAAACACACAAACCAAATGAGACCCAAAAAACTGAATAAAAACAGAACAAATCGCGCGACTGGCGACCGCCCAAGTGGACGCCAGATCAGAGTCGCGGCATCGACGCCGGCATCGTTGGTGGTCCCCCCTCTCCCACCGATCCCCAATCAGAGGGCAACGAAAATTTAGTTGTTTAGCTGTGGCTTTTGTTGTTGCTGTAGCGCTTTATCGACTTCATAAATATGGAAATTTTTCATTAGCGATTTCCGTTTCCGATTTATCTTAATGGCCACGTCAAGCTCTGTGGCTGTGGCAAGTTTCTTGTTGCTGCTGGATGTTGGTGTTCTTGTAATTAAGAGAGCTGCTACCGTTTTGGGGCTTGGGTCCAAATATGTTGCGGCAACATATTGCTGATAAACATCAAGGCTAATGCGATGTTGCCGATGAGACGAGACGACAACGACGATCGGAGGCGAAGTTCGTCTTCGTGTGTGGTCTTCGATCAGATCAGGCTTTTGGCCAATGAAAGCGGCTATTAAGTCGCGGCCAGGCAGCCAGCCAGCCAACCGAGACACTGTTGGCAACTTGGGTGGCAACATGCCATTCACCAATCACACATATACTCGTACCACGGGGTCTGTCTGTGAGCTGGCGGCGCCGCACAAAAAAGAAAGCGCGTGCAACAGCCAGAGGACCAGAGGCCGCCAATAGGGGCAAAAGCAAAAGCAACAAAAACAAAAACAACAACAAAAACCAAACCGACCGGAACTGCAACTGGCGCTATATGCAATTATAAGACTGTGGGGTTTCTGTGTGTGTGTGTGTGTTTGTGTGTGCATCTGCAGCAAACAGTAGCAGCCACATTTGCCTTTGCCAAAGATTGACAGCAGCAACTAAGACCGAGATGGAGGAGAGATGTGGAGACCACCGTGCAGTGCATGATGCCGCCACCGAGTGACGCAGTTCTCCGTGGGGATGGGATAGCGCTCTCTGAGTGGCCTCTGCTTGGCACTGTTGTTGTTTGTTGTTGCTTGTCGCCACACCGTTGGGTTATATTGTCAAAAGTACGAGTTGCATGGGTAGGGGGAGGGACAACTTTGACTTTTTATTGTTATTGTTCAGAGCAGGCAACTTTAGTAGGGTAGTCTCATAGCAGCCAGCGTCTTGCTTAGAGGAATTAAGCTTCCCAGCCAAGACTTGCCGTTAGGTACATGTGTAGAAACTTAGCAGCATACTTTTGTTTAGCGGGTATCCATTAGTCGGAATAGCTTTCGTAAAGAATTCCTGCTCTAGTTGCTCTTCTTTTTCTTGGTTCTTGTTATTGCTGCAGCTGGTTCTGGTGCTGCTTCTGTTGATGGTGATGCAAATTGTTGCCATCTATCTTGCTGTCAACATCAGAATAATTGTTGGTAACATTTGATGTTGCTGCCGTTGCTTGTCATAATATGATTGCAGCCGCGGGGCAACCTTTTAAGCTGTGCTACAGTGCAACGTGCCTAGTGGAGAAACTTGGTGGCTCAAGGATTAGTCCATACGCCATGTGCAAACCATTAAAACTAATTTAATGTTCATTTTCTGCGGAACCATAAAAGTAAACTTAAAGTTTACGGACTTTTCGCACACAACAATAGTTCCTAGAAACTCAAGAAGAGTAAAATGAAGAAGGAAACGATAAAGATTCGCTCGAATTAAGGCCAAAAAACAAATAATGCCCCCATATCATGGGAGAAGCAACCCGGACCCGCCCGGACCCGCCCGAACCCAACCGCACTGCATCGGATCGGGCCACACACAATGCTCGCCCAGGCAGGCCCAGGAGCACACACACTTAAAAGGCAAATAAAAACGGGGCAGCGAGAGGGAGAAAAACAAATAATTGCTAATTTTATGCTCGAATAAATGAGCGTGAGTGTGCCCCAAGAGTAAAGAAGGATCAAAATGGGGCGCCCCGCCACCGGAATCGGCGGCATAAATTAGTGCGAGTGAAATAGCAACATTAAAACGTCACGCACTATCAAACGAGAGAATGATCAATGGGGGCACAACCAACCAACCGAACGCCTGAGAGCATTCATATACGCGGGGAGAGCATATACAGAGCAGAGGCAGGCTGGCTAATAGACCACCCATGACGATGACGACGAATCAAAGGCCACCCACGATGTCGAGCAAGAGCAAGAGCCATGTCGCTGCGGCTCTGTGTTTCTGTGTGTTGTGCGTGTGTGTGTGTGTGTGTGGTGTGTTTGAGTTAAAAGACAGACCTTTGAAAACAATTCCAGCATTGGCTGTGGAGGGGATAGGGGACGAGACCCGCAGCAGATAATTGAAATATGTACAACTTGAACATGTGTTATGGTGGTGTGCTGTGCTCTGAAGTGGGTGTACTATCCACACGAAGTAATAATAAAACAGATGTTTGTGGGCAGGGGCAGGGGCAGGGCAGGCATAATAAATACATAAATAAATAGCTGGGTGAATCCAAGACAAAAGTCCTCCAGATTGCTAAACACAATTTTAGAATTATTTAGAGGAAATAGGGTATTGATAGAGTCCATACTCCACTCATATGTTGTTGATATGTAGCAATTGTGTAGTTGCTGTGTAGTTACTATATATAAATTTATTCTATTTTGTAAATATCTTGCCAAACCTTTTTTTTATAACCATTACATTAAAAGTGGCTTTGAAACTAACTAATCTTGTAGAAAATTGTTCCATAAATAGGATTAATCTACAAGCTTAGTGTTGGGAAATTTAACTACCGTGTAAAGTTTAATAGAATAATACAATTTATGAATATGATGATATCCATGGTAAGATGAGGTATAATTTAGTATATTTCTGAGGGTAGTCGGTATAATTAATCCGCGGTCACACTGCATGCAGCGTGGTTGTGCAAAATTATTTAGTTGGATTTTTCTAATTTTATATTTAATTTACAAAAAAGGACAACAAGATGCCGCCGAAGAAAGCGCCGGCGGGTCCCAGCAAAAAAACGGAACAGAAGAAGAAGGAAAAAGTTATTGAGGTATGCTAGAGTATGCTGCCAGACTTGCTTTGGCCGGATGATATATGTTCAAAGATGTGGAACCACGATGTGGCATAATAGCTCTGCGGAGATATTGATTTCTGACTATTTATCTGTAGGACAAGACCTTTGGCTTGAAGAACAAGAAGGGAAACAAGCAGCAAAAGTTCATACAGCAAGTGCAGAAGCAGGTGCAGGCCGGCGGCCATCATCCACGTCCGGAAGGCGACAAAAAGAAAGATGAGAAGGAAAAGAAATTGGCTGAGCAGCGTGAGATGGCATTGATCTTCAAGCCGGTGCAGACACAAAAGGTGGAAAAGGGAACTGATCCCAAGTCTGTGGTGTGTGCGTTCTTTAAGCAGGGACTCTGCACCAAGGGAGACAAGTGCAAGTTCTCCCACGACCTGACCCTGGAGAACAAGGTGGAGAAGCGCTCCATGTATGTTGATATGCGCGACAACGAAGACGACCTCATGACCAACTGGGACGATGCCAAGCTCAAGGAAGTTGTGGACAAGAAACATGCTGAGGAAAAGCGACGACCCACTACTGAAATCGTAAGTCAAGTTACGGCCTGCTCCTTACGAAATATTAATTAAACATTTCCGAACAGATTTGCAAGTACTTCCTGGAAGCTGTGGAGAAGTCCAAGTACGGTTGGTTCTGGGAATGTCCCAACGGAGAGAAGTGCATCTATCGTCACGCCTTGCCGCCCGGTTACGTGCTGAAGCGAGACAAGAAGAAGGAGGATAAGCCCACGGAAATCTCGCTGGTCGATTTGATTGAGAAGGAACGCGCCGCTCTGGGCTCCAACCAAACGCGAGTTACCCTGGAAACCTTCTTGGCATGGAAGAAACGTAAGCTGACGGAGAAGAAGGCCAAGATGGTCGCTGAGGAGGAGCGCAAGAAGAGCGATTTCAGCAAGGGCAAACAGTTTGGTATCTCTGGTCGTGAAATGTTCAGCTTTAATCCGGACCTCGTTGACGATGGACCCATCGAGGAGGGCGATGCCGCCTTTGATATCTACAACCGTGAGGACGACGATGATGATAATGCCTTCGAGTTCAAGGAGCTCGATCTGGCTGCCCTTTCGCTGGCTGCCAAGGAAGTGGATGGCTCTGGCACCATAGCATCTAGCACCAGGCTGCTAGATCAAGCCACGGAAGCAGCCAAAACCGCAGCCGCAGAGGACGGAGCGGCTTCTGAGGACAACGATGAGAACCCATCATCGTCTGCACCCGCCAACGATGCTGCTCCCATCAACAAAGATCTCTTTGTTGATTTGGCCGGCGAACTGGATGACTTGGATCTAGATGATGACGATGACTAGGCTTGCTCAATTCAATTCTTTCTATTTTGATTTGTCAAATCCAAATGCGTTCATATAGATTTCTGCCTTTAGCTACTTTCTGATCAATAAAACTGTAGCTTTCAAATGTTGCATTTCTGAAAATCCATTTACTGTTTAATCAGAGTGAAGTCCAGTAGAAGAACCACTACCACAGCAGTGGAACATTTCAGTTAAATTACAAATGCCACAAAGACAACACCTTTAACTTTACTAATCGTACGTTAACAAAATATATTAAATTACAGTTTAAACTACCAAAAGCCAGGAGGCAACAGACCAACCGCCTGTGGAATCTGGCGCTCGCGCAGGAACTTCCCCAAAAGCATTTCCAGTCGCGTCTTTGGTCCACCCTCATCGTAGACGGCCAGCTGGGGCATATAGGAAACGTGAATGTAGAGCAATAGCTTGAGGAACTGTTTGCCGTAGGTGCGCCACAGCTCAAAGCCCAGTGTCTGCAGTATCTCCATGATCAGGGTGGCGCTGATGTCTGGCAACGGTTTCACATGCACCACATGGGCCAGCCAACGCCAGCCCTCCTCCAAACCGAAACAGTGGGCAGGCCCGTCTGCTTTTCGACCTGGCGTAATAATCACAGCAGCAAAGAGACGTGCGATGCCAGTTTGTCGCTTGAGAAACATGTCCGGCTTCTCCAGCTCGTTTTTATCCGACAGCCGATAGCCCATAGATTTTAAATATTGCTCTGCTGTCTGTCCCGGTTGCTGCGGTATCACGTAGGGCACCAGATAGGGCGACTCTTTGTAGAGATATGCCAGGAAAACTTTTCCAAAGTCCGGCAGCAACTTCCAGAAGGTCACAATAACCGATGCAAACGGAAAGGCGGCTTGGGGATTGCCAGAGATGGCCGTCTCCGATTGACTAACGAACTTCTTGGCCATCAAGAGCATGCAATAGTCACGAGCCAACGGATGATCATTAATGGTAATGGTGGCATCATTCATTACTCTCACGGGCTGGCCGGCAAAGAAGTTGTAGAGCTTTTCGAAATTGCTGCTTAGATGCTGCGGACTGACCGCCGTGATGGCGTTCAGCGGCAAGTTGATTGCTCTTTGACAACCTGAGCGATACTGCTTCAGTGACTCCTCGGACTGCAAGGGCTTCACTGCGTCCACTTTGGCTTGGTAGAGTGAAATGATTTCATTGTAGAATGTTAGGCGCGATGGGTGGACATAGGACCTAGACATGTTGCCTTCCGCCTGCGAAACCTGAACGGAACCTGGCTCAGGGGGTGGTGTTACCTTGGCGGCTTCAGCTTTGGCAGCCTCTTCTGCCAATTGTTTTTGTTGAGCTTCTGACTCATCCTTTTCCTTCTGTCTCTGCGTCTGTTCTTCAAACTGCCTCTTTTCTTCCTCCAACTGTCGCTGTTTCTCTTCCTCCTGACGCTGTGCAGCTTCTCTTTTGAGCTGCTGCTGGATGAGCTCGGAGAATTTCGCCAGTTCTTTGATCATATCGGCCTCCAATTCGTCCAAGCTTTTGCAATAATGCTCAGCCTTAATGATTGAGCTTAAATACTGACTTTGCTCGCAGTTGCCCATCTTCACAGCGCAAACCAGTTGATCAAACTTTTCACCCAGCTCCTTGAGTTGCTGGTTTTGGGCGGCACAGACCTGCACCGTCTCCTTGTCCAAGGACAGCAACAGCTTTATGATTCCCTCATACTTGTTGCCGAATCTTCTTTGGCATCGGGACAAGCCCTCCAGAGCCAGTTTATGCAACTTTTGGTCAGTTCTCTTGCGCAGCTCCAGCTGTTGCCGCTGCTGTGCCTCCAGCTGATCCTGGGCCATCTGTTCCGCCTGCTGATTGATCAGATTCTCATTCTTCTCTCGTAAAGCTTTTTGCGCCAGGCGCTCGGCCTTCTGCTCTTCTTCCCGCTGACGGGCTTCCCGCTGTATCTGCTGGCTTTGTTGCCGCTCCTTTAATACTTGAAGTTGATTACGGACGCTCCTCTTGCACTGCTCCGCCATTTCCCGCTTTAATATGCTAGCGTTTATTTCCTCTGCATCTGGGAAGCACGACAAGCTCGGCTCCTTGTCCCGGATGCTGGGCGAAACAATCGTTTCCTCTGCTACAGTCTCCTCGGCATTTACGATGCCTTCGTCCTGACTTTTCTGTTCCCCTTTCACCCAAAATGGTTCCCGGTCGGGGCCCAATGTCCGTCCTTTGCATGTGAGCGAAGCAATGGCTGCATGCTTAAGCACAGTTTCTAGGTTCAAGCTATCCATGGACCGTATAGCATCCTCAACGCTCTGTGATTAAATAACCCATATAAATGACATATTAAAGCAATTTGTGGGATATTCTTTACCATTTTGTTGATTTGTAAATTTTTTCTGGGCCGCCCTGGCATATGCCTAGTGGTGGCAAAAAGTTGACAGGTTTGTTCGATTTCCAGAAAAGTTCAACCCTGTTCGTCTATCGCATGAGCGTTATCACCACTAGCAGCAACTACAAACAAACAAATTTTTCCAATGGGTGGCGTGAGGAAAAGGGGTATATTAGTTTTGTGGTCGAAATGGATTACCGAATCGCTAACCTCTGATTGATGTCGAATTATTATTATAGTCAAAATTAATCCTTGTGTCAAAATAATTTTTATTTTTTATTTAAAATGTACTTGCTCTGACATAATGCGTATATAGCCATACTGGCGTTAATGCATATGAATATGGCTACATCGACTGATATTGCGATTGATACTAATAATGAATATTGGTAAAACCAATATAATGAATTTCCTTACCGGGTCGGTGACGCATTCTTTTTTGTTTATATTGGAGAGAATACACAATACCAAGCCTCAAAATCATTTAGAAGAATTTGACACCATGGCTGCCATCCATCTCAATTAGTTCACATCGGCCTTTCTCTTCCAGCAGTCGTAGTGCACTCAGGAGCACTGACTCATCCACGCCATGGAAATCCATTTGAGTGGAGTTCTCGCCAGAAGCTATTTCGTACAGTGTGCAAATGCTGTTGGTCTGCCCCGTCTCCTGTATCCAATCGTATACCATATTCCCATACTCCTCCAATGTGTACCAATACACTTGCCACTCCTGGCGGCGTTTGTCCAAGGCAGCTGCATGCCCAGTCCGTTGCAGTTCCTCCAGTATTACCAGAATGAGCTCCGGGGAAAGGCGCCGCTGAATTGACTCATTGTGGAATAGTGGCAAGCTCTGTTCGTTGATGCTGAGTGAAAACTTATTCGTATGCTTGAGGTATTTGAGAAAGAGATCCGTCCAGACCTTCAGCTGCTGCTGTCTGGTTTCTTCGTGGGGCTGTAAACTGTCGGGGAAGTTAAATAATGCATACTTGTACTAATTGCCAAAATGCTTACGTGAAGAACGGTGGGAATGTGTACTCCCAGGGCCATTGGAATTCAGTCATTTTCGTTTATTTGCAAAAGCATCAGTGCGACCGCGGATTTATCGATAAAAGAAAACACCTGACTGCAACGAAATTAACACTCTAAGCCCGATATATCTAAAAAGTTTAAAACTGAGTCAACGAAAATGGGTTAATCGTGCTCTGACCATGTCCGAAAATCATTTTCCACGATTTCTGCTTAATATTACTAGCAAGCTAACATGAAAAACTTACCTTATTTCTATAATATCCTCTTTGCCAAGGAATGCAGAATGCTGCACATGCCCTGGTCATTATCATAATTTCATAAATTTGTTTTACCCAAAACACAGTCTTCAGGTCCAAATTATAACTCCGATTTTCCATTTACATTCAAATGAAATAAATTTTAATTGTTCTTAAATAGAATAAAATGCGTACATAAACATTTCCTCGGGCTTTTCCGTACAGTTTGAGAGGATGCATGATTTGGTTTATTTCAAAAATTTCGATTTTCAGTTGTTGTCCAGTATCATGAAGAAAGTCAACATACAGGCATTTTAGTGGATTTGTTTGATGGATAATCAAAATACATACACGTATACGTACTCACATATATATATATATTTAATTAATTGTTCTGCAATATATTCTTGTTTAATATATGTAAGTTAAGTACTAGCTGGCGTAATACATTCAATATCTTCTCATTCGGTTCGCTTAGAGTCTCTCTCTCGTGTCCTTTGCTTGTTTTCTATCAGACCTGCGCGTCTTTGTTTTCTTTTGGAAATCATTTACACTAACTTGAGTTTTATGTTTCTAGCTGATTTACGTTAATTTGGTTTTTCTTATAAAACTTGCATGCTGCGGGTGCTTAATAACTATCTTTATCCTGTGTTTGTGTGTGTGTGCCATTAGTTTTCGTAATACATTCATTTTCTTTGTTTTCTTTCTGTGGTATAGACAGTTGTTTTGTTCTTTGTGCTGCGAGTTTTGCATGCAAGTTGCTCTTACTGGGAATCGGGACACTCTTTAGCATGGTTGATACAACATATAATATTTACTATATTTTATATCTTTTGGTTTTGCACTTTATTTTATTTGTTTTTGTTTTTTGTACACATGCGTGAAATTCTCTAGGGAGCGAAGGTTTCTCTTGATAGTACCGTTAAGAGTGTCTGTGTGAGTTTGCTAGTGTTCAAAGAGCTTTACAGTTAGTTCCTAGTTAACAAGTGAGGTTTGGTTGAAATCTTTCTTTGCTAGATAGGTATTTTGTTTTGTATGATGTCTCTCTCTCGTTTTCAAGCTGTATGCCTCCTGCCATTCAATATCAAAGTCAGTTACATAGCAATCGATTTATTTATCTTCCAGTATATATTAGTAATATATATAAATAATAAAGCAATCAAAGAGTTCTCTTCAAAATATACATAATAAATGCCCTCATATGTGTGCTTAAAGCATCTATATTGATGAAAATGTACACTTGAAATGCTTCGCTCTGGTTCGTTCACTTACAACATAAAAGAAATATAAAAGCAACAACAAAATGGTAGTTGGAATTCCGCTCGACTTTCCAATCGAATTTCCACAAAATTTGTTTCATAATTGGAAGGAATATTTGGTTCAGAGGTGCAAAGCGGCAGTTGGATAGTACAAAAATACAATTATAAAAACGAAAGTACTTCATATATGTTTTCTGCTTTCTTTTTTTTTGGTTAATGAAACGTGAAACAAATCTTAAGCCTGCGTGTCTCTATATCTATTTATATCTTAAGATCGTAATCAGCGACAAATCAAATAAACAACTAATTGATTCCTTACAAAATACATAAAACATAATCCGCCAGCATTCAATATAATATATATAATGTACATATACAGTTCTCAGATCTTATACATACACATTCAAATATATATATTTGGGGTTTGTTTTAATGTTATCGACAATCTACTTAAAATGGCATGTGGTGGCATGTATTACAATACAGTATACATATAGTACATACATTTATTTATAATATATCATTATAGATCGTTTTCCAAGTTGGTATAAAATGCATGCAAGTCGAGGACAGACAAACATTAAATCAAATCAAGTCCCTTCTATTTAGGTTAAGCTTGCATTTGCTCCATGTTGGGTCTTCTATGCTTCTTCCGTGTTTCTTTTCTGTCTTCTGTGTTTTGCCTATCGTCTAGATTTGAGTTATTACATATACATTCATAAAGTTTTGGGATTCTAGAATCACTGCACGTATAGATAGCATGACAGCATGTTGTTTCACACAATGCTCCATATTTTCGACTAACGACTAATACTAGGTATAGTTAGAGACCCTAAGCTACAATTTTTGCCTAAGACTGTTTCGGGGTATCCCATGCGGTGGGCTGCTTGCTCTACTTTGCCAACGGCTCAAGGTAGCAGCGCACCGTGTTGTTCTCATCCAGCATGGCCGACAGATGACGCTGTTGGTGTTGTGGGGGATGCGGATGGGGGTTTACTGTGTGGGGATTACTGTGTGATGTATGCGACGACGATGATGTTGTGGACTGCGGTGATAGTTTCTGAAGCTGTTGACGCTTCTGTGCGGGCGTCTGATTGGCCGGTGGCAGTGGTGGTCCGGCGTTGCCATGACCAAATAGCTCATTTACCGCCAAACGGGCGCTCGGTGACTTGGCATGCTGTTGCTGTTGCTGCCTAAGCGCGCCCCGCATGGAGCCCTCACCAACGCCGCCGCTAACCCCAAAAACCGCACCATTGTGTTCTGGGTGCGATCCTCCTATTGCTGCTTGCGCTGCTCCGGGTGGTTGCGTTCCATAATCAACGGGCGCTCCATGCTTGCGCAGCTGACGCCTAGAGTTGGATTAAATTCTCCTTATTACAAATTCGCTGTCTTCGCACTTTGTGTTTAGTTACTTACTGAAACCGCCGCTTAAAGTCCGCATCCTGCAGTGCCATTAATCGACGCATTCGCTCAGCGCTTTGGGGTGGCAAACCGTGCGAATCATCCTCCATATCGCTCTCGTCATCTTCCTCCTCCTCCTCATCACAGGCGCCATCGTGCAGTTGCTCTGCGGCAGTTGTCTCTTCATCATCCTCCTCCTCGTCATCGTCCTCGTCGGCAGTGCAACGTCTCGCAGGAATTGGCTGCGACAGCGGCTGCTGTTGGTTTCGTGATGAGACACTGCCTCCACTTAGACTGCCACCATAGCGACTCCCGCCAGTAGCCACTGCCGCACGCATGTTGTTAAATACGCCGGTGCCCACGCTGTTGTTATAGACCTCATCCACATCAAAGTCGCCCACTTCGTAGTGTTGCGCATCCGAGTTGCGATTACTGAGTATCTCCTCGTACACAGGCCCGCCATCCACTCCGCCGACACTGCCTTGATTATAGTAGGCATCGCCCAGATCACAGTTGGAATGCTTATTTCTATATTGACGCTGCATGAACTCCTGCTGGTACTGCGCCATGTGCGGCGGCGGAGCTGGCAGCTGTTGCTGGCCATTTGCTCGTCGTTGCTGCTGCTGCTGTTGCTGGTGCTGCAAGTGCAACAGATGGGCATGCTGTTCTGCCTGCTCCTCATCGGAGGAGACTTGCTGCTGCTGCTGTTGCTGCCGTTGTTGACGCAACTGCTGCTGCTGCTGCTGTTGATAAAAGGCAGCAGTGTTGGGTGGCAGTGGTGGGTCCAGGGCCTCGGCATAGTGCGGATAGGCCTGTTGTCCCGGCTTTGTCTTCTTGTACGATGGATAGAACAGCACTTGGGAGGCGGCTGTGGCCCGGCTGTGCAGTGAACCACTCGGAGATGCCGGAATAGCTCCTCCGCCACCCCTCTTCTTCTTGCCGTGCTGGCTGTTTGGCTTCTGCGTCCAGTAGAACACCTCATGGGCCTGCTGCGGTGAGGATGTGGGTGCCCCAGCGTTATTGTAAAACTCCCGTTGGGCCTTCTGCTTCCAGCTGTAGTAGTCCGGCTGATTGTAGTAGGCCTCACCCAAAGGCGGTTGTTGCTGCGGCTGCTGCTGTTTGTGGGCGAAGATCATGTGCGTAGATCCCGCCGAGCTGGTTGGCGACGCATGCCCAGTGGAGCGCAAAGTATTCCCTCTCTCTAGCACTACATGACCACCAAGAGGAGGCTGCGCTGGTTGCAGGGTGCCCGTTATCAGTCCGCTCTTTAAGGTGCGTCTCTGCTGGGCTTCATTGAGCTCACAATCAGAACTTGCGCCCATGATGGCGTCTTCGGTAGCAGGTAAATGTTGCTGCTGCTGCTCATCGTGCGCCTCATCCCTGACCCCCAACGGTAGCTTGGATTTCTTTGCATTCGAGACGCTGCATAATGTGCCAGCGTTGGTGCCACCAAGTCCAGCTCCGGCCCCTATGCCCGACGAAATGGAGGTCTTGGAGCAACGCAGGCACTTGGGCAGCCATGCGTGCTGTCGCACATATTTGCGATACTCTCGGCGTATTTTCTCGTTCTGAATGCAGTGGAACACAAAGATGTAGAGTCCCAGGAGGGTGTTGAAGCAAATAAAGCTATATCCATAGACGTCGGTCACGTCCTCATCCATTTTAGCACCGCGCAAATACAGATAGGCTGACAACCAAACGGCGCTGAGCAGCAGGAAGAACACAAACGAGCAACGTATGTCGAAGCTGCAAGCAAAGAGAAAACATGAACAGATAATCTCATCGGTTATCGATGGAAAGGGCAAAGGAAATCTTACCGAACAGTGGCCAGGCGTGTGTGCTCTTTGGTCTTCAATCCAGTGCGACTCTTGCGGCACATGATAATCCAGGAGAGGAATGTGTAACCAATGGCAGCCTAAGGATATTGTTGGCGAATGATTTTATTGGGTTTATCCAAGCTGTTATTTTTTGATGTTGTGAGCTTACCATAAAGAAGATAAGCACTGGAGAAACAAAAGTAGCATAGAACACTACATTGGCCTCCATGAGAACGCAATAATCGTTTTGGGTGTAGGTGCTGGGATCGATGATCAGCGATATGGCCACCACGCTCAATGCCATGCCATAGGAGAGCAGGTAATAGCAGTTCACTTTCGGTGTCTGATCCACCTCCAGGAGCAGCTCATCCGAGGTGAGAGTGGAGTACGAGTGGAAGGCTAAAGGATGTTAGAGCTTTAGGGATTTCTTTGCATTGAGTGGGAGTAGAGGTTGGCTTACCTTCGTAGCAGAACCAGGCGGTGCCAGAGAGTATGGCACAGTGGAGGAAAACGGTTATAAAACCACAGAAGAATATGCTTGTTTCGGTCTGTTCAATGCCCAGTAGAAAGAGCAGCTCAATGGCCAGCAGGCAAATATAAATGTTGATATATATCGAGGTGCGTGCGGACTAGAAGAATATCGAAAAGAAATGGAGTAGAAAATTGGATGGATAAGATAGGGAATTGATTTAAATTTTCCGAGCAGCGAGCGCAGACCAGGCAGAAAAATGAATGGAAAGAGCAGTCATACTGAGCATACTGAACGTATGTTCGATGCTCAAACTTAATTTAGTATTTGATTTACAATAATTTTGGTGGTTGGTGGTGAAATGTCCAGAAACAAATAGCTATGTAAAATTAATAAGACTAATAATGAAAGTAAGACATAGAACAAGACTCGAAACAAGCAAAACGAAATGGAAGATACATATTACGACAAACTAAAATATAAATCAACAAATAAACAAACACAAAATTCACGTTTACAGGACAAAATTAGCAACATTTGTATATTTTATTAATTAAATACATACAAAAGAAAGTTTTGAAATGATTAAAGGAATTATATCAATGGTACGATGTCTAGGTTAAATTTGTTAGACAATGAAAATGCACACAACGGGGTTAGGAATACACTAGAATGGATAATAGATTAATATGTAAGTAAAACATGCCAAAATATAATGAATGAACTGTTTGTGCGATTGAACAGAAACATCAATTTAAAATCTCACACTTCTGGAACTGAGAAGAGGGAGCTAAGCTTAGACTATGACAAATTACTACGAAATAGAACTACTACATATAACTGAACTGGGAGAGTCTTCAAGTGTTAGCCGTTGCTGGAAAGCGATTCATATATAGATCCTTATCGCTTTCCTGTGCAGCTTCCGAGTCTTATGATTGAATTAGTTTCGATTCATTTACAATTTGAGTTACTTAAGCATTATATCACATGTGTCTCTTGATCATAAATATATAAATTAATGTAAGAGTAGAGAGAGCCTAGCCTAGCCTACAGTTTATGCTTGCTTCTCTTCTTTTTCACCACCACCACCACTTATATTGTAAATCATCCATATTGGCCTGCATTATAATGTTGTTCGTGTTGTCCATGCCGTTGCCGTCCGCCACATTCAGATTGTGGTTGCGGTGTGGATGCTGTTGCAGCTGCTGCTGCTGCTGTGCCTGCTGCTGGTGCTGTTGCTGCTGCCTAGCTTGCAGGTAGTTGTGGCTTATGTTCAGATTATTACTGGACACAGAATTGTTTGCCTGGACAGCATGCTGCTGCAGTGCAGCGGCAATCGAAGCAGCAGCTGCAGCAGCCGCCGCCGTTTGCTGGCCATGTTGGTGAAGATTCAGATTTAAATTATTCATTTGCATAGCGCCGCGTTGCGGCTGGTTGGACAGCACCACAGCAGCAGCAGCAGCTGCCACAACTTGTTGCTGGTGCTGTTGTTGTTGCTGCTGCTGCTGTTGGACATTGTAATTCAAGTTGTTGCGATGCGAATTGCGAATGGAATTGTGTTGAATAAAGTTTGTATTGGTGTGAGTTGGTGTAGCGACATTCGTCTGGCTGCTGGGTGTGGTCAAGGTCAATGACTCGTGGGTCTGATCCCGTATATTATTCTGCTGGCGCCTGCTGCCCGCCCTCTGATGGGGCAACGGACTTGTGGCGTTTCTTACCTTGACAAAGACCCCATTGAACAGCTTCAATGTGAGCAGTGCAATAACTATAAAGACCACACAGATGGCGATGCTGATGTAGATAAAGATGCGCATATTCCCATCAAACATTGTGAACAGCGAGTGCTGATGCTCATCCACCACATCCATGAGTATGGCGAAGTTGGTCAGATGATTGCAGCTGCAGACGCTGTGTGTGCGATTGGTGGACTCCAAGCTGCAGCCATTGGCAGACCAGGCACTACAAAAGGGAAAGTAATTATTGAATCTCGAATCAATATACAATCTAAGTCATTTGGACACTCACTGATCAATATAGTTCCAGAACACACAGGTGGGATTGGTCACATTCTCCGTTTTCAAATGCTTTAATGTCAATGTAATGGGTTGGGAGAGCTGGATATGCCGTCCCTTGCCCAAGCTGGCTGAGATCACCTTACTGTTCAGTATGCGCAAGCGCTGCTGAAGATCTCCCTCGCCAGCATCGCTGTCGTTGGCCAAGATTGCTGTGTTGCGCACTAAGACCCGGATTTGATTATTCACTTTTATTCTATTCAGAGTCAATGATGAGACTTACCGTAGCTGCGGGAGCTCTTGAGGTCAAAGTGATCATAGCTGGGCTTCAATATGGACTCAAGGCGATCAAAGGCGGCAAATACAATGCGCACGAGGCCGCCTTCGCTATTCTCAATAAGCGCAGCTCGGGGCAATTCAATACGGTCGGAGCTGAGAGGCCACTGATCCGAGTCCGGGAACACCACGCTGGATTGAATGGTTTTCGTTTCCAAGACACGCACCGAGAGCACTACCCAGAGAGAGAGAGAGAGAATCCAATATTGTGTGATGAAGATTTTAATGACATTGGCAAGAGTGAAGCTACTCACATATATTCTTGACTTTCTGCACCACGCTGCGCTCCCTGATAATCGTATCGGCCAGCAGGAAGGCATTGTACTCCAAGCCTGTCAGCAGGGATGTGGCCACACGCATCTGATCCTCAGGATTGAGATCCAGCCAGGAAGACAGCTGCGACTCATCCAGCAAGTTGGAGCCAGTTTTGACCACACAATGTAGCAGTTCCATGATCATAGCTTCCCGCTGCCGCTGGTCGGGGAAAGTCTCCTTGTCGTGGAGCATTTTCTCGGACACGGTTTGGATAATTTTGGTGGTGACCAGCATATCCCCGCCATACAGAGTTTTACTGCTCGTTACCTCGGACATGTCATTGGCAATGGAAATCAGCGAGGAGTCTCTTTGGTTTAGTCGCATCTCCAGATTGTTCAGCCAGAGGCTGCGACACTGTGTCAGATCTGGTGTGAGTGGATGCCAGGTAGGCTCAAAGTTGCGCAGACGCTGATTGACCTTGTGGGCCATGGTCACTGGCGGCTCACAGTTGCTGTTATTGTACATGCAGTCGCCACTGGTGGGCATGGGGGTCGTGGTGCTGGAGCCAGCCATTTCGTCATCTTCCTCATCGAAGCTTGAGTCGGGAATACGCTTCATCAGCACACAGCGCCACTTGGCAATGCCTGCTGCGCCACCCGGGCACGGCTGGACATTCACATCGCCCACACGGGTCATGTTCCAAAAGAGATTCCTGGCATGGGTGGGACCGCAGAACAGCTTGGACTCGTCATCAGATCCAGCCATGCCAGCGGCATTTAGATTGATGTTATTTATGGTTCGCACAGCGCTTCCGTTGCTCAAAACCGATGGCCCACTGGCCGCCGTTCCCGGATTCCGATTGGGCGAACTCTTTGTAGTTAGCAGCGTTCCGTCATCAGTTCCACCTCCGCCCATTCCAGTTAGGATGCGGGTATTCGAGGGTGCTGTAGCATTGCTGGCAGCCGGAAGCTTGCCGCTGGACTTGGTGGGCGTGCTCTCGTCTGTGTGATGGTTGTGATGGTGATGCAGCTGTGGGGGAGGCGGTAGACCATCGCGACGACCACCTGGAAGCTTAGTGGTCGTGCTGGAGGATGCCACCCCCTTGAGACGTCCGCCCGGCAGTGCAGCAGTGCTGCCCTGGGGCGTTGCATGCGTGACAGGCGGTTGTACATTGAATATGCCACCATTGGCATTGATTCCCACCACGCCAGGTAACGTCGGCAGACGGGGCGGAGCAGCCGAAGCACCACCGATATTCGATGGGTGTATTAGACCGCTGCCATTGCCAAAGATTGGCGGCCCATTGTTCAGCACCCATGGCGGTGGACTAGGCCTGTTGGTCGTCGTCGAAGTCTGTGCCGCCGAAACGCACTGATAATGTGCCTCGAGATACTTGTGAGTGCCCATACAGGGGTCCCCGAACATACTGGTCGCTGCCAACACACTGCAGCTGTTCTTGTGGGCGCATCTGAAATTGGGATTGTGTTGGACAAAGGGCTCCCGTCACGCAGTTCAGTGTTAGGACTTACCTTGAATTGAGAACTGTGAGGGACTTGGGGAACATGCAGTTGACACTCCACTCCACGTTGCCATGGTCGTTGCATATGGTAATCGAGAAGCGTCCATAGTTGGCCCGTATCAGGTTGATAAGCTCTCCCTGCTCGCACTCAATGGTCAGTTTCTTGCCCTCGCAGGCATAGGCTGTTTGGTACTTGGGAGCTGCAAATCGAATTATTCATAAGTTGAAGATCATATGTAGAGTTGGTGGGATAAATAAAGGATATATGTTGGTTTGTTGATATAGTTATATGGCATATATAGAGAGAGTATTGATTAGCGTTGCGTTGATTTGTTGTAGTTTGGTTTGGTTTTGTGATGATGGATCTGCAAATACACTTACGCTCTATAAACATATGGATGGATACAAATTGATATACAGATATAGTATGGTAGGTAGATAATGTGATATTTAGCATGATACGCTTTTACGCTGCCTGCGTTATACTTAGTATATATATTAAGTGGTGGGTCGATAGCGATGGATGCTTTGTTGCAAGTAGAATAGTAGTCATAAATACCAAGTCCTGCCAGCCCCTGCTAGCTCACGTATCGTCAACCGTCCATAGGTATCACCATTTTTAGCATCGATTTGTAAACGCTGAAAGAAAATAAAACAAAGAAATTTCTAAATTTAGTTCTTATTTCAAAACAAAAGTTGGTTTTCGTACAGATACTTTAATTCTCTACTTTTATATTTTCTATGCAAAACTAGTTTGGTGACCTCTTTTCAGGTTACTTACAATAACTCCATTCCGTAGCTCTCGCATGGGAAAACAGGCTTGGAAAAGTGACTAATGCCTTATCTGGAGAAGACAGAACACACACAAAAAAATTATTTATATGGAATCCATTGCGGGCACACACACACACTCACAAACAGACACTCGGATAGACACACAAGAAAAAGATAAAAGAAGTTAGGAGAGAGGGAGCCTAAAAATACACACCCTTCTCCATTATGTGGATGTAGTTGTTGCTGTTCATCGATTTAAGTCTCGTACAGCAGAACAAAGACTCGTTTTCTTTGTATACGTACAAAATGCAGTTGCATGTAGAGAAATGTTGGCGCTGGCTGCGCTGCGACTGCAGACAGTGCGCTTGCTTCATGTTAACATACTCAGCACGCACGTATCCAAGTCTTTGCTGCTGCAGCGCAGTCGCTGCCTTGGCCAGTGGAGCACCATTTTCTGTGGTTTTCTTTGTTCTGCCATGGCACCACATCATATGCATTTTCATATACAATTTTCATTTTTGAAATCAAAGACTTTTGTGTGGTTTTTGTTGTAAGCTCCATTACAGCACTAAAATGAACACTTTTTAGCTTTTGGCACTCAAAATATGCTGACGTTGGCTTTTACATTGGAAAAAAAACTGGCTTAAGTTGCAGGTTTCTTTTAACTTTATTCACTATTCGCGAGTTTTTCAGTTTCTTAAGCAGTGAGCTTTAACAATAGATATTTTTCAACTAATTGACAATTTCTTTTGGTTATTTGAATTTTAAATCCGGGTGCTGCGTTCAACTTTTTGTTAGAAAATGTGTATACTAGAATTTGTGGTGTGACCGTGGCATTATCGATAACAGGACTTCGTAAATATACCGAAATATACCTTGCTTTCAAAATATACTGTAAATATACAGTAGTCTTCAATCATATTCTTCGATTTTTATGTTCTATTTGATATTACTCGCTAGTTAGAAGTCTCCGCAGTAAAATTATAACTTTATTCGATTTATCAATTAATTCTACACAAGATTGGCTAGTTTTCACGACTTCCTTTTGGTGAAATGCTTATAAATTAACTTAGTTATTTCAGCATGGTTATAGGATAACATTTTCGTTGATTTTGATATTCTGCTAAGCATTACCAGGCAGTTAGAGTTCCCAGCGCTAAAACTATAATTTTATATGATTGATGAATTAATTATGCATGAGATTGGCAAGTTTTGTTGTCTTCTTTTTACAGGATTGTTTAAAAAATGAGGATTTAACTAAAAAGGTCAGCCAACCATACAACTTTAACATGATAGCTACTCGGGAACTACACGTTTACAACATATCAACTACATATTTATGTAATAAGCAGCAGAGACACCTGAAGAGGAAGTGTAAGTTTACAGCAAAATACAGCGCGAAGTTTGAATTTGAATTCTTTTGTATTTATTTTTTTGTAATTACGTCCACAAATATTAGTGTCCGCAGTGAAGTGTTGGTGTATGCCCAGCTATAATTAATAAATGATTAAAGAGTCAGCTGTAGAAGTGTACGCTTCAAGTTCAAGTGCAGCTTGGAAGTGCAGTATTTCTTATCAGGAGCCAGCTTTACATTCACTTCCGGATTTGGATAATTTATTTATTTATTTCGCTTGCGATTTCAGTTGAATTTCGATTTCCATGTGCACGGTTCGGGAAGTACGTCTCAAAATGGAGAATAGTTTGGTTTTGCTGCTGATTGTTTTGACAGTACCCGGGTCCTTCCAGGCCAGTCCCAAGATCAAGCCAACCAAGGATGTCATTAAAGATTTGAAGAACAAGACAGAAGTAGTACCCGCAAGTAGCCTGCCCATTGTCAATGTCACACCAGTGCCTGAGAAGTTGGCAGAAGTCCACATTGATCAGCACAAAACCATTCGCATTAGCAAGGGGGATCTGGACGATTTATTGGATGTTTATATGGGTAAAATAGCAGAGAGTGCGGCGACCATCAAGGACAAGGAGAATGAAATAAACAAGCTGCAAACCAAGGAACACACTGACGACGATTTGCTGAAGAGATTCGAGAATCTCACAGAGATTTGTAATGTTCAGAATTCTACATATGCAGCAAAGCTGACGGAGAAGGATGAAAAAATCAAGGAACTCGAGCAGAAGGTCAAGATCTACGAAACCAGATTGAAGAGGAAACAGCACGTGTTGACTGAGCTGAGAAAACAGAACATCTCCAGTACGGCATTGATCGATCATCTGAAGGCCAAAGTCGTATACTTTGAAGGCAAATTCAGGGAGAAGAAGGATGATCTGTTGGCAGACTGGGAGGCAGCCACCACCAGTTGCATTCCGTTTGGCATGTCGCCTGGCATTCATTTGATACATCTGCCCGGATTCCTGCCCTTTCTGGTGCCCTGCGAGGGTCTCCCATCCGCCGGTCCTGGCTGGATGGTTATTCAGCGCCGACTGGATGGCTCTGTGAACTTCTATCGCAACTGGGATCAGTACAGCAAGGGGTTTGGCAAGCTCAACGGAGAGTTCTTCATTGGCCTCGAAAAACTGCACCGCATGACAAATTCACAGCCCCATGAGCTCTACATAAGCTTCAGGAGATTCAATGGGGAGATGAGCTATGCCCACTACGATGACTTTGTTATCGGCAGTGAGGAGGAAGGCTACGAATTGAAATTGCTGGGCCATTATCAAGGCAATTCCAGTGATGCGTTGCGCACCCATGACAAGATGAAGTTCTCCACCTTCGATAGGGATAACGACGAGTTTACGCATATGAATTGCGCCGAATATCATCACGGTGCCTGGTGGTACGATTTTTGTTCTCGAAGGTAATAATCCATTTGAACAGTTGAAAATAAATATGGAATTATTCTCTTACCCAACCCTTAGCAACTTGAATGGCAAGTACTTCAAGTCCGAGGTGGACAATGTCCAGGGCATTTTCTGGGAGCCCTGGTACAGCTTCAGATCTCTGAAATCCGTGCAGATGCTAATACGCCCAAAGAGCCAAAGGGAGTTGAAAGATTTACCCATTACAAAGCGTACACCTAGAGCTATATTAAAACGAAACTCTCCATCAGCTCAACAGATAAATTCTCATTATTTGTAATAAATTATTTACCCGTACTATGTTTTTTTTCCAACAGCTTAAACGACACTTCGAAACGGATAAATCTCGAATCCAATTTGTCAGCTCGTAGTTTACTTTTCCTACGCCCCCTTCTTGCTCGACAGTTGATTACCTTTCGATTTTTCGCCCTCTCCTCTCTGTAATTACTTCGTTACAGTTCAGTGCAGTTGGTGTTGGCTGCTCTAGACATTTGTTTATTCGCGCACAAGTCATTATTGGTGCAATTAATTCTCGTTTTCATGTTCATTTGTGCTCGCATTTTGCTCTCTCTGTTGCTACTACAATTTAATGAAATCTAATTGAGTGTGTGCACTGGGCTCTGACTCTGGGTCTTGGCTGTGTCTCCATCATTTGTCACTTGCACTTTTATTACCAAGGGACGGCCGTGGGAGTAAAGAAACTCAATTGGAGTCAATAAACGCTTGACAAATTAGCCAGAACTGGAGAAATATAAATTAATATCGATTCGAAGCAAGATTTATAGCCTGAGCAGAGAATTTGTTCTCTTAAAATGAGTTTATTCCAGTTTCTTACAGAATATATCCCAATCCAACTGGTTGTTTCCACTTCAAAAGAGCTGAAGAGAACACTTACATTCATTTACGATGTACATAAATACATTCAATGTGCCTTGGGTTTCACTTTCAATGACATTTCGACCGAACCGAAACGAACCGAACTGAACCCATAAGGCAAGTTACAATCGATCGGCTAATGGAAACCTAATCGCTCGATTATAGCGATTAAGCGTACAGAACTCAAGCAGCAGAACTCTTGCTGCCTGGCCATTTAACAGACATACTTAAATGGTAAATAAATACATTACTTAGCGCAAGATAAGTACACTTTCAGCTGGCAATATCCTCAAGTGGATGATGGCAATATAACTTGTAACTTTTTACTAGTAACTAACTCTCTACGATTGGCGTGTAAATAACCTGGAGTAGCCCCACAGAAGTGGGTCTACGTCTCCTCCGATTGCCCGGAGCCGTGTGCACGCTTTTTGTGCCATCGTAGACTGGCGAACTGGGCGAATCGCTTGCCGCACGTGCAGCACTTGTACTTCTTCACGGCCAAATGCAGTTCGGTGTGCTTCTTGAGGTTGCCATAGGTGGTAAAGGTCTTGCCACACACCGTGCACAGGTGCTTGCGTATGGCCCAGTGGGAGTTCATGTGGTCTGTGAAGCGATTCTTCTCGTAGAATCCCTTCGCACAGATGGGGCAGCTGAATGTTGACTGGTTGAGGTGTCTGCGCCGATGTATGTCGAAGAAGGACCACGTCTTGAAGGATTTCCCGCACAGGTCACAAATGTAGGGTCGCTCCCCAGTGTGTGTCCGCAGGTGGATGGCCACCTCTGTGGAGGTGGCAAAGCGTTTGTCGCACTTCTCGCACGCATAGGGAAAGTCGCGCCGATGCCGTCGAATGTGCACAGTCAGATTGCACGGCATCTGGAAGCCCTTGCCGCAGAGCGTGCAAATGAAGGGCGGGGTGCCGTCGTGCCCGGAGCGATGCACCTTATACTGGTCGCAGGTTTTGATGAGCTCTGAGCAGACATCGCATCGAAAAGGACCCAGATTCTGTTCCAGAAAGTCTGCCAGTCTGGCGTGCAGCAGGGGAACGCTGCACGATTCTCCTGGGTTGGTGAGTAATTTCCGTTTCTGCGCTGAAAACTCCTTGCGCAGCTCGAACAGAGTCTTCTCCAGCTGCTCGGCGGCATACGCTGTGTGGAAGGTTGTGTTCAGCTCGTCCAACATCTGGGTCAGCGCCTGACTGCGGTAGGCATTCGATCGAAAGTCGGGATGATCCACATCCCACAACGCCGCATAGTTGCGATAGATCTCCACAAACTGCAGCTGATCCTCTGCCGATCCGAATTCAATGGAGCTGGCGTCAATGAACTTTGTCTTCTGATTGGTCTCCACCACACCGACTTTCTGCAAAAGCGAAAGGATGCCAAAGGATATAGAAGGGTAGCCAACTAGCAGACGCATGTACATACCTTGCTTATCTTATTGAAGATCTGCTCTTGCAGTATCGGATGCAGGAACTCCATCTCGTCGTAGCACCAGAGCTTGGGCAGATACAGTCCCTTGTGTTTGATCACCATGCGCAGCTCCTTGCGGTAGCGCGTCCTCAGCTTCTGTATCTCCTTGTAGCACTCGTCGCCACTCAGCTCGTAGTTCAGCTCCTCCTGCAATTGGCCAGAGATCTCCCGGTACAGTTCCTTCTTGCTGCAGCTGGTATATTCGTAGTGCTGGGGATTCCACAGACACTCCAGCCGCTTGAATGCATCCAGGATGAAGCTGAGCACCTCCCGATACAGTGCAGACTTGCTGCAGGACTCGGCATCGGTTTCACAGGACTTCTCGCTTTCGGTACTCTCATTGGTGACCTGTAGGTAAGGTCCAGATGAGTTGCGTGTTACGATAGTCTCTCATCTGGCTACCTACCTTGGCATCCCTTTCGGCTCGCTTGTTCTCGATGACGCCTCTGAGGAAGTGCATCTTGTCAAAGTACCACAGACGGGACTTGTGCTTACCGCCGAGGGCATTCAGCTTGCTCAGCTCCCGTCGATAGCGACTCCGCAGCTCCTTGAGTACGGCGAAGATTTCGGCGCCGGTCAGCTGCATCTGGCAGATGCCCTCCAGTGGCGCAGCCAATTCTCCATAAACACTTCGCTTCGCATTGTACTTGTAGTCGGGATGCCTGGGATTCCATAACTTTTCCATGCGCTCATACGCCGCCAGCAGAGAGCCAACAAATTCTCGATTTCGTTCCAGTTCGCGACGAGTGCGCTGTGTGGGTTGAGGAGGGAAGTGCGGATCGGCTAGAGAACGATCAAATAGGGATGGGGGCATCATTGGCATATATTTACACACCGCCTGGAAGTCCACATTGCTGCCAATACTACTCGCGGGGGATGTGGGCGGCCCTGGGGCCGGAGGCGTCGCTGGCGGTGTTAGTTCCGACACGTTCTCGGCGGAGAATTGTTCAGCATCTGCCACTGCCTCCGGGTCTGCCTCTTGCCTGGTTGAATCTTTTGCATTCTTGTTTTCCGCTTGACGAAGCTTGCGCTGCATTGCCTGTATCCAACAAGAATAAATATTTCGCATAAATAAATAAATTGTGTTACGATTGCCTCTGCTTGTGTTGTATCTTTGAGATGAGCAATGATCTTGGTCAGCCTCAGACGATTCGGAGGCGGTTGGGTTTATCGATGGAACAACACACAACCACAATCGTCCATGTGAACGAACAAAGTCAAACAAAATAAAAAGGGAAAGTTCGCTCTCCTCTTCCCACAGTTCCCTGTTCACCAATATCAGCGGCTATTGGCCTTTGTGTCGTCTACACGTACGTTGTCATCGTCATTGTTCTTATCGGCATTGCAAATGGCCCGACTGGGTTCTACATACACTCATATATATGCATATGTACGTACATAACGATGTGTATATCTATTTGCTCCCCTGTTTGTTGTTGTTTTGTTTTTTGCTTACGAAATATTTGTCATAAAGGTATATTTCTTCTTCGCATTCTATTGTACTGTCCATGAATGAAACATACGAGTGGCATGTATATAAATATGTACATATGAATAATGCAAGGGTACAAGTCTAGAGTTTGACAGCTATAATGGACACTTGATTTGATTTGAAACCACCTTGATCTGTGGAAAATCACAGGCAAACCTTTCCCTGTCATAAGTTCCGACCTACCCCAGAACAAAAATCGATAAGTAGCCCCATAATTATAGAAACTCCAAACGAAACGAAATTAATTTGTTCATGCAAATGTTTTGTTTTACCGGCCGTCTGGGGCGCAAACATTAGATACGGTAAATGTACTACGTGATAAGCGGTTCTAACTGGTTCCCACCCGTTATGATCGGATTCGGGTGAAACATAATATAATTCCCTCACACTAGGTATTGCTGTTTTTCCTATAGGTTTGACCAACGAATCATTACAAATGGGATTACAAACTAAAAAGATCTTAGGGTGTGCATTTTAGAGTAGTTTATTTCGTTTTAATTGCTAATTGAAGTTGTCTTGAGTGGCCTGGCCGGCCACAACAATCGTCGATGATTTAGTCCCCTTTGCTTTATTCCAATTCCATAGCTCCCACCCATAAAAAGTCGAAAATACTATTGGGGGTAGATAAAGTAACAAGAAACGTTGTTTGGGGATGGTTAATTGTGATTTGAGGTATGTATTGAGGTTTTGGAATGGATGGAATAAACTGAATGGAACTTCTGGTGGGCACAACATAAATCAATACTAATGTTATTATAAGATAATCTTGAGCACAGCACAAACTATTCACGAGCTAAATGAAATAAAAGGGTAGAGGGAAACTCCACCAGAGTCCTTTCCTGTCTGACATTTATCAATGTTACAGCTGTGTCCACGAACCCACTGAGTGTTAATCAATACCCAAATTGGGTTACTGGCCAAAGTGGATTCTGATTAATTGGCTGGCATTTCAGCGGACCTCAACCACTCTCATTCACCTGTCGAAAGAGGCCTTGGCCGAACTTTTTTCATACAAACAAAAAACTAAACCTTTCCCAAGTTAATGGAATAACTGAAGACTACAAACAAAAACCTTGGCCCCAAACGGGAATGCAATTTAAAAACGTGGAAATTAAAGTTTCGACCCTCTCACTTTCTGTCAGGCCCAGGAAAAACATGTTCGGGTCACACCCAACGCTCATAAAAAGAACGGCCCAACGCCACCCCAAAAAGGTGAGTGAAGGGAACTGAAAGCCCATTAAAGTAACCCCCTTGTAGCCCCTTTTTCTCACTCTCAGTGTCGACCCGCTGGCTGACCCTCTATGGCTGGGCTCTCTATCCTTGCGAGTCGCTGTCTACCTAGCAACAGGAAATAGTTCCATATCCATGCAGTACATATCCGTCTGCACATCGTTGTGGAGAAGACTATATCGGAAATTTGAATAGTGCAAATGGTTGAGCAGCTGTTTCTTAGTGCGCTCTTCTTTTTAGCTTTTATTTCTATTGTCGAGTGTCGAGCGAGAGGGCAAACAAAGGCGAGGCTAGGGCGGGCAACGTTCAAGCGGGAGTTGGCTTCTTTGGACACAGAGACAGTTCTGGGGCGTGTCCAGTCTGTCCAGCCTTTTCTGTGTCTGTGCTGCTGCTTCGACTGTGTTTACCGAACACGCAATTCAAATAATTGATCCAGTTAACTGTTTAACAAAATTGCATAAAAATTCAATAAGCAACAATAGAAACAAAACGGGCTTCGATGACGGCAACGGCAACGGCAACGGCAACGTCAGCGGGCACCATTAAATGGGGCATCGCTGAACTTCTCCAGGGTGCTCCTCATATGTACATCCATTCATATGTATGTACATTTGTGTATTGAAACCCGATCGCAGACCAATTTGATTGAGTTAGTTGTGTGCTTTTTCGTTTCCCCCCTTATGGTTTATTTATATTTTTTAAATTGAAAGGGGTCGAAACTCGTTAGAACTGTCATAGAAAGAGACGGGCAGTCAGGGAGTGCAATGCAATGCAGTGCGAGTAAAGTAAAGATTTTGTTGGGGCATGGATTAGGGATATGCATTATATCCATATGTATTTTGAAGTAAACGTATGAAGGGAACTGATGTGTGGATATATCTGAAGATATTCTTCAATAATATGCATTCCTCAAGCATACCCATCCACCTCCACTTGCTTGCTTGCCAGCAAACTTGAGACATAAATAAACTCTGCGATAAGCAGAACCCACGCTTGCAGTGCCGGCTCCAATGCCTGACGATTCCGATTCCGATTCCGAGTCCAATTTCAATTCCAATTCCGGGTGCGAAAGCTGCGTCATCCATGCGAGATGGGGGAGGGAGGGCTAACTCTGATGTTTTCTCGTCAATTAGAAACGATTCTTTATTGCATTTGTCACCAAGAAATATGCGGGCAGGCAGTGCCAATCAAAAAATTCCTTTGATGATGATGCGATGATAAAGCGTTGCTGTTTTCGTTTTCGTTTTCGTTTTCGCCTCAAATTAATTAACAGAAACTCGCTTATGCCGATACATTTTAATTTCCATTTGGACAGCGTGGCCAATTGCTGATTATCGGCACAGATCTGCTGGAGCTACAGCCCCGTTCCGCCACACCCCACTCAATCTCTTAGCTTCTAATTAGAACGCGCTCCCGTTAAGCCACTGGCCAATGTGTGACATGTAGCGCGATGGTTGGAGCTTTGAATGTGGCGACGGGCTATAGGCTGTGGGCTGGGAATGGCTATGGGGCTGCGCCCAAGTGCAAATAAAAAGATTCATGGCAAAGCCACGTTAATGCTGCATTTACTCGTAAACCATTATAAGGCTTTGGGCCTGGAAAATCGAATCGAGCTACAAAATGGTGTCATGGGGGATTGCAAGTTTTAGGTGTTCTGTTTGGTTGTTTTGTCGCCCGTTTTCCGTTCGATTTATTGCTCCGAGTGAATCGTTTCAGGCTCAAGGGAAGGTTTTAATTGATCGAACAGAAGGCGCTTGCCAGACACGAGAGTTTAATGTTTCACTTATGAACAGGGTTTAGAGGCCAGGCTCCGATTTGTATGCTATATAAAATAGCCCCAAAACCATATGACATGCATAATCCGGAATACCACGAGACTCAACTCAACTGAAATGTAATAAACTCAACGTGCGGTAATAAATTATGAGGAATACGTTGCTGGTGTGTTTCCACGCAACCCGCCGGAGGTTTCCGTTCATTTCTTTTATGGCCAAACGTGCCGCATGTCCACGTCCTCCCAGTGATGAAAGAAGCCCATGCAACCGACGAAAATAAACCTTACGATGGGAGGGAAACCTTATAGAGAACCCAAGAACCGGGAAGCAAATACGAACGAAAGTCCAAAATCAAAGATAATACTACGCGCGGCATTGCGGCTATGGTGCAATCAATTTCTGACAAAACGAAATGCGTTCGGTTTGAAGAGGTCGAGAGCTCTTAAGCACAGAGTCGTGGCCAAAACTTTAAGCAAATAACTTTCGTCTGACGGCGGAGTCAGTCACAAGGTAAGGCTGCCTTAATTTAATTAGACTGATTATAAAACCTCCTCAGCTGATCGATCAGCGGGTCGAAACAACACTCTAAGCCCCTCTTCAGACAGACCGTCCACCTTCCAACGGTATGTTTAATGTTTGGTTAAACTTGTTAATTATTTAATAAGCGCGGCTGTGACTGATAGAATCTGAGGCAACGCCTGTCAATAGCCCTAAAGGAGGGGAACCTTTCAATGTTCAATAATGTTTAACGTTGGCATAAAACGCACCTGTCTGAAAATGTTGAAATATGGGAAGGGAATTATCGTTGGGGCAGATAATAAACCCACACGGTGATATCCCCGACTTAAGATTAGATTATGGGCAGTGATATATGGGATGGTTTTCTGTGGAGTACTTTGATTTCAACGGATAATCGATGATTTAGATGAGTCAAAATTCTTCGTGATACTGCGTTCGTGATAATAAAAACCAAATAACTAATCTTTGGTAATAATTTCTGAGATTTTACAACTATATAAATAGTACATACATACATACATATGTTGTATGTAGTTCTTACTCGTAAATACCTATAATCATTGCACAGCAATAATTTAATAGTTATCCATAAAAACACACCCAATTCTCTCAATATTATCGTCAGTATTGGTACATACGACAATTTCTATATGTCACTCTGTTTGGACAATGATTTATGGGTAGCAGGCGCATTTATGGCAGGTGCTCTAAAAATTCCAATTTACAAGTGTTTAAATAAACATTAAAACCTCCTTAGTTAGGGGTTTTGCAGCGCTTTCGTCGTCTTTGAGCCGTCTTATCTCTAAGCCATTTTGAACAGCTAACAATATGGACAGAAATCGACAATTATTTTATTACCTCCAACGCGAAGGCGGCAATATCGCGCCAAATGTGACATAGAGGCACTGAAAGTCAGAGAGGAGGACTGATTGGGTTGTCTGGGGCAACGATCGGTCGAGGCGATCGATCGATCGATCGTTCGCTCGAGCAAATGTTAAATTACTCAAAGTGGCTGGAGAGACGCGCGTCATTGTCTCATCGCCATCGTTTATTCACTTAGAGATGGCTAGGAATATATCATAATCAGGCAAGACACAAACTGATTTCATGGAAAAACTGATTTCAAATGTAAGACAAATTTAAAATAAGGTTCTGCGGGAAGAATTATATCCCTAGATTTTACTTTTTTACCAATAACATTCGCCCCAAGGTGCAGAGCGTCTCGAAAAACGCTTACCAAATCGAAGCTTAGATAATTTTCCCCTATTTGTTTACCTCTTTGTGGTCTAGATAATGCTCGCCTCGCCCGACAGACTTGCCCAATGTTGATAATAGCAAAATACTCGTAAAAAAAAAACGAAAATAAACAAAAATTACCCATAATTTCTATTGAAAGTGTCGTGTAGCCGGGTTTCTAGGGGCAAATAGAAAATGATTTTTATCAGCATTCACATTCACATTTCACAGAGAGTTCTGTTGTTCTGTCCCCGCCCCCCACCATTCCAATGCCCTAGCCCGGATATCGGCTATGCGATAATAATAATCAAGCATTCGAGATCGAATTTTGTTCTTTCTTTATGTGACGAGAACTGCCTTTAATACTGTATGTATTCCCTCCAATTATAGTACTTAGCGTTTTAAAATCAGACCAAGTGCTGAATTATTAGTCGCTGACATTTAGATTGCGTCAATGCAGTGGCCCATGTCCCATGTCTCTGGTCTATATTTATCTGGAAGACGGAAAACTCTTGAGATTTCTCTACGTCAAATTGATGAGAAACCAAAAACATTACCAATCTATGGTCTGATATTTTAAAGGCCGATTATCACCGTCATTATTGACAAGCATCTAAATACATACATCACGGCCTGAAGTGTTTGCCAGAACAGAGAAAGCAATTAACTATAGGGAGGGTTGCTTGAGAAGTGGCTCTAAGTTATACGCATAGTTTAAAAAGAATTAGAATTACTCTTATATTACGCACTTATAAAAGTTCTATGCCCATTTACGGGTATGAATTCCACGTAGAAACGTATGTACATAATATAAATACATGGTACGTGCAACGACAGATCCAAATTGAACCAGTTCGGTATCTATGAGTGTACATATTTATAGGCCGACACTGTTCACAAATTTCGTTAAATATCGTTTAATAGCTTTTTATTTTTGTAAATCCACAACAAAGAAAGTGCTACAAAAAAACCAAAAAGTTTTCCAAAATAAAATGCTGAAATGTTTGTGTCGCACATTTTGAGTCTAGAATCTAGATATACATATGTACATACATGTACATATGTACATATATACATATGTATATTTATTAATGCCTGCCTCTCTCCAAGCACCCCCCCTTACAGAAATTGCACAGATCCTATGAACGAGATACATATACATAAATACATACATATGTACATGCATATGCACAAAAAAGTTATTGTTGTTTTCTATAGAATTTCCATGTCCACAAAAACAAAACAAAATTGGAAACCAAAGATGAAAAGACTCTGAAAAATTGAGTCGGGTTGACGGGAGAAGAAACACAAAAGAAAATATATTGCATCCTGAGCATTTGATACCCTTGCAAATCTATTACCTATAGCCTTTAAATAGTACCACTAAGCAAAGAACGTCAAATGAACTAACTGATAGTTCTGTATGAAGCAAATATGACAGTAGTTGGGTATTAACACAACAGATGAATCAGATGATCAAGAATACCTCCTTGCGTTGCAAACCGCTGATCAAACTGATAATACTCTATCCAAGGGTATGCAAACGGAACAACAAAAATAGCAACGTCTCTGACGAACTGACAAAACGTCTCTCTCTCTCCCTATGTGCTTCCACAAGAACCACAACAAAACATTTGAAAACATAGGGCCGTGGATAGCAACGGGACTCAAAGGGGAAAACAAGAAACAAAGGAGAACCACGAGGGAGCGACGTATACAGAGAGAGAGCGCGCGGACAGGGCGAAAAAGCGACACACTTTTTCTCAATATTTTGTTGTGTGCCATTGCGCCGTTATTTTGAAGGTCAAGTGACCAGGTTAAGCTTCCTCCGGAACTGCCTTCAGCCTTCAGCCCTTCTTCTACCTCTTGACAGCGGCGGAAAACCATTTTTGCATTACAAAATCTAATAAAAAGAAAAAGGGGAAACGACAGTGAATCACCCCGAGCGCGAACTACTGTGGTAATTGGAAAAGCTAACAACTCGCTGTGGCGCTGACGTTAGAGCGTGTACTGTAGCAAGAGAGGACAGCGAAATGACGCAGAGCGAATGTACAGAAGGAATCAGCGATTAACTTACCACGCGTCGTGTTTCGTATCGCGGCAGTGGAAGTGGAGCGACCCCAACGTCAGCGCCAGCCACAACACCAATCTCACCAGCCAAAGGTGAGAGCGTCGGTGTGGGCGTGACCATATCTACCACTTCATGAAGCACTTCAAATGGATCCAGTGCCTGCAGGCAGGTCTTCCCGTCACCCAAAATGTCCGCGGAAGGCGGCGGCGAGGGTGGCAATGGATTTTCCATAACATAAACCAAATCTATTTCGGGTGCTCCCACTGCATGGGATAGCTGCATTGCGGGGGTCGCCGCGACGATATTCATTAACTGAATGTCCATGTCTATCACCGCCAGGCGTTGCGTGTCTGCCGTGTTTTCCTCCGTCTCCGTCTCTATCACCATTCCATTCAAATTCGATTTCTTGGTGCCTTTGCTGGCTGTGGTGGTCTGGTCTTGGTCTTCCAGTTGGAATATGTCATGGCAGTCCATTTCCATTATCATTAAATCTGTTTGGGTTGTTTGTTCGATTGTATCCTCGCAGTCCTCGTACCGTCGTCTCATTTCCTGAATATGCTGGCCGCGAATGTGATCCATAAACACCGAGAACTGCAAGCAAATTGCAGGGCAAAAGGCGCAATTGAAGCCAAAGCTCTGTACATCCGGCGATGTGGTAAGTTCTCCACATTTACGAAAGTAGGCGTAATCCTCCAGTTGCCAATTAAAGCTCTGGGGTTGCGGCTCTGGCTGCTGCACTGGCTCCTGCAGCGGCAGCATGGTGGGTGGTTGTTTCTTGATTACACAAAAAGTTGTTTACTTTGTCAGAATTCGTTTGGCGCACACACGACCGTGGAAGTGAAGTTCAGCGACGCGGCGGACTTTCTCATAAAATTGCGATTTATTCTAGCATTAAAAATTCAGAACAGCAAACTGTCAACCTAGTATCACTCGCGCCGGCGTTTTTCAACAGTTTGAAAGTTTTGGCAGCCGCGCGCATCCACTAGCCGCGAACTTTATAATATTTCTAAATAGTGATGAGAGCAAGTAGGGTTTGTCAAAAATATATAACAATATCAATATATCGATATTTTTAAAAAATAAAAATATATATCTATCGTAATATATTTTTTGCAAAAATATCAATATATTGATATATTTTTGCGATATTTTATGTTTGGTAACCAACCACAATATGAGAGACCACGGAATCTAAATAAAGATATGGGGGATATTGAATTTGTGCACAAAAGTGGATGTATGTAACGCACAGATGGAAAAGTTTCTGACACCATAAAGCAAATATATTCTTGATCAGAATCAATAGCCTAGTAGATAAACCCATGACTGTCTCCCAGTTGCGCTAAATTTTCTTGCGAACACTGAATATTTGTATTTGTTTAAGCCCAGTACGCTAATAAAATATATTATTTTGTGGCTATTTTTACATTTTAAATTGCTTAAAACGATTTTGATGAACGGTTTAATGTATCGATGGTTTTGCAGCCATGAAACTCGAAATAATAAAAATAGATTGGCAGCTCGCACGGCTTACAGCTGATTGATTTTGTTATTTAACCAACTCGAGTTTTCCCCAAAACATAAGAAACAATGCAAAATTGTATGAAACTAGTGCCATTCGCACTCAAGTGCCCACAGAGAGCCATCTGCACGTCTGCTGTCTTGGATGGCAAGCGGAACTTTCGCAAGTTTAACGTGCACGGCAAGCGAGGCACTCGAGTGGTTAAGGAGGCCCAGAAGACGATGGCCAATCCGCCGGTGGCCATTGATAAGCGGGGCGTGCGCGACACAGGCATTATGGTTGATGGAAAATTTGTGGAGATACCCGAGAAGATTCCCGACATTATTGTGCCCGATCTAACAGACTGCAAACTGAAGCCGTATGTGTCCTACAAAGCACCGGACGTGGTGCAGTCTGAGTTCACCAGCCTGGACTTGTTCAACGCCGTCTATTCGAAAAAGATTATTGAAGATTTCAAGGCGGGCAGCCTCCAGGCAGATGGCAGTGCCAAGGAACCGTCGGATAACGAGCAACTTACTTCATCGGAGGCATTGCTGCGTGCGCGACGAACAGGCAGCGATATATTCTAAGCATAAGTTTTATGATTCTTAAATACAGATTGTAAATTCTACTATTCTACTTCCTGGATGTACTTTTGGCGATATACGTAAAGTTTGCGAATCCATTTCTCTGTCTTTAAATCCGGATTGCCAAGGAACTGAAAGATGAAAACACATGATTGTGAGAAGAAAACCAGAGGTAGAGCCGAAAAATACTACTTACGCTGGGATGGAATATTACATCTTCGGTATGGACCGGGACTGGGACAGGCTTCGGCACAGTCACCGTTTCGTTTTTCAGATCTATGATAACCTTCTCTGGGGCCTCACGATCTTTGGTGCTGAAGAAAGCAGACGGCTTGAAGGTATCCTCGTCTATCTTTTCCAAGGCCTTTTGCACTTTGGAGTCGAGCAGATCGATACCCTTTACGTTGCTACTGACAGGCGTTGAACGAGAATTGCTCTCCGAGCTTGGGGCTCTGGTTGTCCGTTGGGAGGCAGAGCGAGATTTGTTATAGTCCCGACTGCGACTCTTGCTGTGCCGGCTGCGGGAGCTGCTTGGACTGCGTGGCGAAGAGCTGCGCGACGTGCTGCGGCTGCTGCTACGACTACGTCTGTAGTACTTTTTAGATTTCTTTGACTTCTTCTTTTTGGGCTTGGAGCTCTGCCGGCTGCTCCTGCTGGGCGACTTGGAGTGGTAGCGTCGCTCGCGTTCCTTGTCGCGTTCCCGATCTCTCTCCCTATCTCGTTCTCTTTCCCTATCATGTCTGTCCCGTTCACGCATTTTGCTATGTCTTTTTTACATAAGAATTAAGTAAAATTTAAACATTTATTTTGTAAATTGAGGAAGAGTGTGACCGTGTATTTATGAATTGAATATACCGTATGGTTCTTAGTAGTAAACTGAAATATACCTTCTCATTTTCAAAATATACCGTTGATATACCTACAAAAAGTGTTGGTTGACCCAGTTAGACCTCCTTTAACTATCGAAACTTAAACGGAGGCGCGAAAGCTGCACAATAAAGAAATATCACATTTTTGGGTGCATATTTGATTACATTCCATTGCAGATTGTGATCTAGATCTGGAATCCGAACATGTAATTAACATAAAACCCGTTTATTAAATTAAATTAACCTTGGCTGAACTTCCTGCAAATGTAATCATATTACATGAAGCCCCACCAGCAGCGTATCTGTCAAGATTCACAGAATGATAGCAGCACTCACTTATCGTGAGCCACCTGTATTATTATCGCTACAGGAAAATCGCTTCTGTATTTTTCAAGCGAACTATCAGTCTTGATGAACGTCGTTTCTATACGAAAATAGCCAGCCATAAATATGTTTCGGCAAATCTAGCGCTGCTTATCGGATGTTCCTTGGGGGTATATAAAAGGCAGGAGAGGCGACACCAGTAGTTAAATTACCTACACGTGTGATCAAAAATGATGGTGCCTCAACTTCTTGTGGGTCTGCTATGTCTAGGCCTAGTCAGAGCCTCGGCCTTGCCCGCCGACGGGGGCCGAGCCAGCTCTGTGACAACGGTACGGATAAATGCTTTCCTTACACTTGAATATATTTAAATTACGATTGCTATTATTCAGCTGACTCTGGTGAGAGGACAGGGCTATGAGATTCAGGAGCACACTGTTCAGACATCGGACGGGTACATCCTCACCATGCACCGCATTCCCTACTCGAAGAACACAGGCTATGATGGCGTTCGCCCTGTTGTCTTCCTCATGCACGGTCTGCTGTGCTCGTCCTCTGACTGGGTCTTGGGCGGCACACACAGTGGTCTGGCCTACCTGCTCTCGGAGGCTGGCTATGATGTCTGGATGGGCAATGCTCGTGGCAACACCTACTCGAAGAAACATGCCACCAAAACACCGCTGCTGCAGCCCTTCTGGAACTTCGAGTGGCATGACATTGGCATCTACGATCTGCCCGCCATGATGGACTACGTCCTGTACACCACTGGCGCTGATCAGCTGTCGTACGTGGGTCACTCCCAGGGCACGACCTCATTCTTCGTGCTCAACTCCATGATTCCCCGGTTCAAGAGTCGCATACGCTCGGCCCATCTCCTGGCGCCCGTCGCCTGGATGGAGCACATGGAGAGTCCCTTGGCCGTCGTTGGAGGACCCCTGTTGGGACAGCCAAATGCCTTTGTTGAGCTGTTCGGCAGTGCGGAGTTTTTGCCAAACACCCAACTTATGAATTTGCTGGGCGGTCTCTTGTGCAGCGATCAGTCCATATCCCAAGTGATTTGCACAAACAGCCTCTTCCTGCTGGGTGGCTGGAACTCGCCGTATCTCAACGAGACATTGATACCGGAAATTATGGCCACCACACCGGCGGGCTGTTCGGTGAACCAGATCTTCCACTATCTGCAGGAGTACAATTCGGGATATTTCCGACAGTTCGACTACGGCTCGAGCCGCAACAAGAAGGAGTACGGCTCCAAGACTGCCCCAGACTATGATGTGGCGGGCATCAATGTTCCCACATACCTCTACTACAGCGACAATGACTACTTTGCCAGCTTAATCGATGTCGATCGTCTTCGCTACGTGATGGATCCCAATTCGTTGAGGAGCGCCTATCGCCTACCGGAGACTAAGTGGAATCACTTGGACTTCTTGTGGGGCCTGAATGTCAAGGAAATACTTTATGACCGCGTGCTCAATGACATAAGGAATGCGTAAGCATGTGTTGCAAATAAAACTCAAGATTGTGAGATCAAGATCCAAGCAACAAAACACTTCCCACAGCTGCTTATTTAATCAATGGGGTTTAATTACTGATGAGCTCATAGTTGTTAAGTTGCTCATAAATTCTATATAAATCAGCGATAATTTTCCGTTTTGTTATGGTTTTAATGGTAGTCGATCCCATTCATGGTCAAAGCACGTTATAATTCAAATTCAAACTCATAAAAATGCGCAGAATACAACACTGCTTGATACCATAAAATGAGTATCGATTTCCACGCATTTCGGTATATTTCGGTATATTTTTGAGCGTCGTGCACATAAATCCGCGGTCACACTTCCGCAGGTACACCCACGACGAAAAACCTAATCAAATACAGAAAATAATATCTTTTCGCATAAAATTTATTTAAAAAACGCCAAATATTGGCCAGTGGTCGGGCTATCAATTCCCCAAGATGACGCGTGTAACGAAAAGTGACATTTCACTCGATATGGAGGTCTGGGTGGAGGAATTGTCCGAGGCGCAGTTGGCATACTATGACAAAATCACCAGCGAGCATTATGCCGTGAAAAATGCGCTCAAGAGTGCCGTGAGCGCGAATGAAGGAAAGGAGCTGTTCAATGGCCAAGTGTTTCAGGCTTATTCGTTCAAGGGAAAGGTCCTGCAGGAGCTGAAAGAGGCCACATTGCCTAAAAAGCCGCCCAAGCCGGTCGAACTGCCTCAGTCTTCTACACCGGTTGCTGGCTCCACGGGCAGAGGACGTGGGCGACCAAAGCAGTCGTCAAATATTGCCTATTTGGAGTCATCCGACGACGGGGATGATGATGTTCCCTTAGCGAAGAGATTAGCCTTGTCGGCGGGTAAAAAAGCGGCTGCTGGAACGTCTCCGAAGCTTGGCAAAAAATCATCAGCCGCCGCTGCGTCATCTCCTGGCAAGTCATCGCCCCAGCCCAAGGGCAGCAAAAGTAGCTCGAGTGGCAAATCTTCAAAAGACTCCACTGGTGAATCTCCTCCTAAGAACTATCGCCCAGCTGAGGTCAACTCGGTGGGAGGTCTAGTTGTGGGCAGCACTGACGAGAGTAAAGATTCAAAAGACGTCAAGGATGGCAAGGACTCAAAAATGCAGGGGAAAACATATCCCTCGCTGGTGGTGCTGGCCAAGCCGTTCCTCAAGATCAAAGACATGGCTGCAACTCGCAGCAAACTGGACTCCAAGGTCAAACTGGTTCTCATGCTGACCCCGAACAAGTTTTGCGAGTGGCTGCTCCAGGAGGGTCTTCTCAGGTCCCAGCAGAATTGCATTAATCATCGAAATAGCGAACTGAAATTGGGTATGTAGAGGATCAATCAACTCCATAAACTCTTCTCACGTTCAATTCTCCCTCAGGAATATACTCGGATGTCTCGAAATTCCCCTATACCGGAGGCTATGTGTGGATCAGTGACTGTTGTCCATATCGCTTCGTTTCGGTCTTCAATAATTCAATATTTGAGGGAGCTTCGCATCCGCCCACGTTTCTTCTAAAGCTCATCTACCATTGGGCCTGTCAGACCAGCATTCAGAATGTGGTCCAGTGGGTCAAGGTGGACAGTGTGTACATAAAGGGCATATACACCTGGCTGCGAGCCATTTGCACTTTGGCTGTGCATCAGAAGTGCAAGAAGCTAGGAGGTCCCGGAAAGTTTGTTGAGGTACTGTATAGAATTCTTCCCCAAATTTATTTATGTCCACTCACTGTTTAATGTACTTCGCAGGTGGGTGTCATATCACTGGGAACCACCTCGCAGGATGGTGCTCAACGTCAGGTTAAGGTCGAAGTGCTAGGCGTCTATGACTATGCAGAGAAATCCATTCGTTTGCGCGCAGTGGAACCGATTATTGATGGTGATCGTAATTACAAGAAACGCTTCCAGGGCATACTTGAGCCGCTTTCGCGCTGGGTCCACAAGGACAGCACCATTTGCATCGACCTGACGGTCGACAAGATCACCCTGTTCAGCTTGGGATTCAAGAATATTGTCCAGGCAGCGGCCACAGACAACACGGCCAAGCACAACAACTCGGCGGTGATGGAGTATTTGCGTCGAATCGTTCCTCGCATGTTCCAGAACACATTGTCCCTGCTGTCGCGTCAGATGATCCAGCAATTCCTGGACGAGCTTGTGTGGCGTGAATCTTTTGGCACGTATGCCCTGCAGGCCTTCAATAACATTATAATACACATAGCCGAGCAGACGAGAGTCACTACCACGGAGACAATCACCCAGCGCCTGTATCAGGTAAGAAAAGAGAAAACATTTGGCTGGCACTAACATTTCTGATCGATCTCTTGTTCCGTTCAGGTGGCAACTAACCCTTTCAAAGATTGGAGCGTACTGCCAGCCAACTACAAGGAGACACCGGCCAATGCGGCACCCAAGCGCCTCAAGAAACGTTAGTAGTTTCGTAGTGTTCAATCGTCTCCGTTAATAGAATAATTCTAAGTAAATGCGTTGTGTCACTCCAAAGCAGTGGTCGTCGGCATGGCCCTATCTCGTGTTGCTGCCCTGCCGCCACACGTAAACAGTGTCGAACAGAGGTCAGCTCGGCTCGGCTCCTATTGAATTCAATAATATTTTTCCATTGTCTGTTGATCCACACAACCAAACGGAAAAATGTTATTGCATTGGTGAGCATCGACCCCTTCTTTAAAGTCAAGTGTTTTGCGGCCATTTTTCGATTTTTTTTGTAATTATTGTCGCCCAGTCTTGAGCTCAGGAAGAGTTGTTGTGAGAACACCAAGTGTTTGATCTTGGTACTCGCATAAAACCCAACACCTACTCACTTTTTGGCATCTTTCATGTTAACTTATTTTAAACTGCAGTCAACTAAACGAAAAACACTAAATAAAATTGCCCAAAAACTTAAGAAATGGAAAGCCTTGGCAAAACAATGTTTTTATTTGATTTATTTATGATTTGGAGTGATAAAACGCATAGAGTTTTTTTTTAAATATGGCTCCAGCCACGAGCTAAGTTTTATGTGATATTGAGAGTGGCAGGAGGAGTTAGTTCAACTGATAATTTACCCTTATTCTTACCCTTACTCTTTATCTGTGTGCAGCGATTAACGATGCGGATTACAACAGCTCCAAGACACCCAAGAAGGAAAAGAAAGAGAAGGACATTGAGAAGGAGATATTGCCAGCTGGTACCAAAAGACGTGCGGTGAACACTCCGCCACCACCGCCACCAGCTACAAAGGGACCGGGAAGACCACCAGGCAAGAGCTCAGCCAAACACACGCCCTCGAAGCCAGTCGCACCTTCAGCAACGGTGACTAAATCATCGGCCAAGAAGCCAAAGGAAAAAGAGGAGAAAATTCCAGTGGTGGTCAAGAAAGAGGAGGACGACCTTAAGGGACTGGAAGAGCTCTACTATGGCATAAGCGATGGATTGGATGAATACTTTGAACAATTTCCATACAACTCGCCCAGGGCCAATCCCAATGAGCTTATCAAGACAGTAGACTGCCCGATTTGCCTGAGCGAATCCTTTGACTCGAATGAGAAGCTGCAAACGCATTTGGTGTCCCACATCTCGCCCGAGGGCAAGCAACATCAGTTCCAGTGCCTGTTCTGCCTGGAGAAGCATCCCACGGAGTCGGTGCTGGCCAAGCATAACCAGATAATGCATCCCACCGAGACCAAGACGGAGGGTTCACCCTCCTACTATTGCCTCATTTGCCAGCAGCGGCACAACTCTTTGCATTTGCTGACGGCCCATCTACAAAGGGTCCACAGCACCCTGGAGCTGCCGTATTGGTGTCAGTCCTGCAGCTACCGCTCGTCGTCCCATCGCGATCTTGTCCGGCATTTCTACGACGACCACAAGAACCAGAACTTCCTGCAGTGTCCCTACTGCTTGGACGTAAGTTCCTTCCGTAAATAACGTGTCAAATAATATATATAATAGCTCTCTTCCCTCTTTTAGATATTCTACTTTTCCATTCGCGGCGCTGTCAACCAGTTGCGCATCGAAAACTACTTCCTGCACTTGAATGATCATATCAATAAGCGGGAGCCATCGTTGCGCTGCCAGAAGTGCTCGCTCAGCTTCCTGGAGAAAGGGGACCTGAAGCAGCATTCGGTTCAGCACCATGTCAGCATGACCAAGACCAACAAGCCGGTGCGACTGTTGCTCAACAATTCGCTGCTGATTCCACCACCAAAGGTGCGCACCCATCACAAGGAGCCCGCTCCCTTCTCCACCAACAAGCGACCAATTTTCTTTGCCTTCCTCGAGGGCAAGACCTGTGCCGAGTGCAACACCGATTTCGCCAGCGAGGAGACGCACTACACGTACGTAACTCCCAGATCTCCCAATCTTGTGTGGCCTGGAATTAAATGCTTTAATCGTCTCCCTTCTTTCGTTACAGCGGGTGGCTGCACTGCCTGAAGTGCAATTATCAGACATGTTGCGAGCGGGCACAGTTCCGGCACGGTGTGGACTGCAATGGAAACTTCGTGGATGCCATGGAGGTAAATCTGCCGCAGGAGATGCACTGTATCTGCGGCTTCGCTACCAGCAATGGCAACAATATGGCACAGCATTTGGCCAACTGTGGCCTGAGCACCTGCTACCCCAGTCACGAGGCGGCCAATGAGAATGCCGTGAAGCGCAATATGCTGGACATGTTGGGTTTGGTCCGACGCGATGGGGACACATCCGGCGAGGGTGCAGATATAAGTGAGGCTGCCGACGATGTCACTGACGATCACAACGAATTGTTGCAGGCGCCAGGGGAGCAACAACTGGAGCAGCAGCAGCAGCCAATGGAGGTCCAGCAGCCAGAACAACAGCAAGACCTCGCGGAGCCACAGACAGAGCTCCAGCAGAACTACTTGTCCGCGCCTGTGGACCCCGAACCAGTGCCGGTCCTACCCGTGCAACAGAGCTTGCCTGCACCAATTCAGTTTGGGGAAATGGAAGCAGCCCCGGTATTGATAGACACCCAGCATCAGGTACAGGCACCCGCCGACTACGCTCAAGTGTCCGTGGTGCAGCAGC